AGCCAGCAACTGAGCACCACGCGGCTGCTCACTCACTCCCTGCCCCACCCCCAGCAGTGGGATGGGGGAGAGAATCGGGGAAATATAACTCGTGGGTTGAGATAAAGACAGTTTAAGACAGAAAGGAAGAAAATAATAATGGTAGTAATAATAATAAAATGGCAATAATAATAAAAGAATTAGAATATACAAAACAAGTGATGCACAATGCAATTGCTCACCACTGACTGACCGATGCCCAGTTAGTTCCCAAGCAGTGATCTGCCCCACCCGGCCAGCTCCCCCCCCAGTTTATATACTGGGCATGACATCACGTGGTATGGAATATCCCTTTGGCCAGTTTGGGTCAGCTGTCCTGGCTGTGTCCCCTCCCAACTTCTTGTGCCCCTCCAGCCTTGCTGGCTGGACATGAGAAGCTGAAAAATCCTTGACTTAGTATAAACACTACTTAACGCACTGATGTTTTCAGTTGTTGCTATCATCATTACTCTTATATTGAATCCAAGACATAACACTATAGCAGCTACTAGAAAGAAAATTAACTCTATCCCAGCTGAAACCAGGACATACATACATCAGTTATCTGAGAAATCTGCTGACTTTTGTCTGGTATTTGCATTTTCTTATTGCTGTGGTAAATTCAGAAAGTTGCAAAAAGCCTCTATGCTCATAGGGATGAAGAACCAATCTGCAGGGGTTCTCAGCTCTGCTCAATTTTGTGATGCAAGAGAGAAGGCAGAGAAAAATTTTTAGTAATCGAATCCTAATCTTCTGTTACTTTACCTAGCATGCACTTTGTCTAATACAACTGCATAGCTCATCTAAAGGCTTGAAAATTGAAACTCCTAGCGAGAAGAATGCCTTTGATGTCATTCCCATAAAAGTCATTGCTTGTTCCATTTGAAGGGAAGATAGCAACTGTACATGCTATTTAATTGAAACCCTATGGAGTAACATCTAGGACCTGGATCATGGCTAGATGATCACTGCAAAAACAGCTGTTCCCCCTCCCACCACTTGTGCCCAATGCTGTTACTAACCCTCTGCCAGACTTTGGCATTCCCCTAGCATAGCAACAGAATGATTTGTCTGAGCACTCTTCTTGTGATTCAGTGCAAAGTCCAAAAAAATTGTTCAAGCAATTTTTTGTGGTGCCTGACTTACTGCTTAAGCAGACATGGTTCGTTTGCATGGCCTACCGTACCTGTTCTGCTTGAGGGTGCTAACAAGCAGCTGGTGAGGGAGAGAAGTAGGGTACAGAAGCTTTGTTAGTAATTATCTGAACACAGTCCGTTGATAAGTCATTTAATTGTTGGGCAAAAGACTTCTGGATCCATCTGTGGTAGTGGAAGAGACTTTTACATTCTGTTTCTCATTGCTACCCTCTTACCATATTGGTCTGTTGAAAGAGCACTTTGTACAGGCATGTTTCCTGGAGTTTTAAGCAAAGTTAGCCAAATTGCGCTAGTTGCAACACTTTAAACTTTAGCTGGACCTTGCACAGATAAGGAAAAGCTTGCATTAACCCTCTGCAGACAGACCAGTGAGGGCAATTAAGCATTATTGCGTGGATGAGGTGAACCCGGAACAGGCTTTAGAGTCGGTGCAGGTGCAAGTTTGCACCAGTGGTGGTATACCAATGCAACTCTCTTAATGATATTCTGCTTTTATTTATAGTACTTTATGGTAACTGAAACACATTCCTGATAAACAAAAGCTCAAGTTTTAAGTTGAAACTGAGTGTCCGTATATTATTCTGTTCCCATATATTCTTATGGTTTTTGGTGAACAAAATCAGTAAGTACTAAACTAAATCAGTAAGTACCACTTGATAAGTAATAAGCTAATGGAATTTGGTTTAAGTACTAGGTTTATTTGTTTTTAAATAGGTTTTCTAGTTGGAGTGATCAAATAAGAAGACAAAGGAGGAAATATTTATTCAACCTTACTGTTATTTTTTTGGTAACTATTTGATAAGTTATCAAATACCACAAAAATAGCTGTTGACTAATTTATTTGACTAAGACCAGATAATTAAACTAACATTTTAAGTAAATGTTATTTATGTAGCCCTGATTCCTGGATCTTTTCTGTTGTCCCTGCTTTGCTTTCTTCATTTTATCTTTTTTTTTCCTATGGGAGAATATAGCATATACCTCTGCATCATTTTCAGTTCCTTTCACTTTTCACCTCCTATCTCTTTCCTTTTCTCCCCACTCTTCTTCACCTCCACCCCTGCATCTTCTGTTTCTCCTTTCTTCTGCCACTTCTTGATTCTGTCTGTGTACTAAACTTCTCTTTTCAAATTCATCTTATCAGTGTCTCTCTCTCTGCCTCACATGACCATCATTCACCCACTCAAACCAGAGCATCTGTGCACAGTCTTGGAAACATTCAGGTACTTAAAACCTAGAGAGCTACTATCTTGGCAGGAACATAAGGCAGGAAAAAAAAAATATCCATGAAGCATATATTAGAATAGCCCCTGGTCTGGCTTTGCAACCTGTTTTGCATCAGCTCTGCACGCTCCCTGACAGTGCACTGCCTGCTTGCCAGACTTCCCTCTGTTCAAGCATTATAGATGAAGCTCCCCGTTACCTGGGACCTGGTCCAGTCCTGCTGCCTGTGCCAGCCAGGCTGCCTGACAGCTACCTGGGCTGCTGCAGGTGCTCCAGCTGCCTTTGGCCACCAGACACCATCCCTGGGCCTCTGGAAAGGGAAACGCAGCATGCCCATCACTGAAACACAGTCTTTTAAAAAAAAGACTAGCTGTCTTTTCTAAGTAGTTCCTGTAAAAATAAATAGATAAATGTCTCTATATTTTACTAAGGCTACTATGGTAAAAATTACTGGCTTCAGATTAATCACTACAAAACAAGTAGATTTTGCTCAGCATTGATTATCAGTACTGTGTACTGAGTTGCTGGAAAAGGGACAGGTGTTAAAAATCCTACCATGTTGTTCAAAGATTTGAGCTTTTTTCCCATTTAATGAGTTTTGAGGATTGTGCCACTCCTCCAAAGCAAGTTCCTGTTTCAGACTTTCCCTTTTCAGTTTTATTTTGTGTAAGTCATGAAGGATTTCTGATGCAAGCTTCCTTAACTCATTCTTTTGCTATAGCTTTCCACTTATAAAAACTCTGAGCTGATTTCTTGGCACAAACAATGCCTTTGATGCAACGCGCAAGCTGGTTTTTAAGGCAGTCATATTTTGCCATGCAAGACAAAATAAAAACCTAAATTACTTTGTGTCATTCAGCTGGTTCCATATGGGCTCTATTGCAAACTCATGGATAGATGGATCGTTTCAATTGTCTAAATAAGTTGGAAATTTATTGGAACTAATTGGAAAAGTTTAACTTCATTTCAGAATTAAAAGCTAATAAATGGCTAAATGTTTCTATATAAAATATGTGATTATTATTTAGAACAAGGCAATGCTGGTATGAATTAACAGACAATGTTAACAGATTATAAATAATTTTGTTTAGAAATTAGGTGTTACTTTAACTAAAATGTAGAAGCTTGCACTTGGCAAAATGATCTGATGCCACAGCAAAGATTATAAACAGTGGGGGTTGCCCACATTCATTCTCTCTCACCCCAGGCTATACATATCTGTGGTGCAATGGATGAAACTAATGAGCTCTGTTTTCTAACCTTCCTTGAAAGAAACATACCCCCCTTCTTGCAAGGGAAGAAGCTCCAGTTCTAGATCACTTAAAAGAAAACCGAAAGTAAATGCATGCAGTGGACATGCTACTTGTTTATGCACTGTTATTGGAAGATTAGTTTTGCCTCATACTGTATTTCGGATCAGACTACATAACATGGGAGTATATTTAAGGATTATATTTTAATCTGAAATAATTTGCTGTATCTTTTTTTTTTTTTTAGGTTCAACTATAGATTGATGTAGTCTGAGTTTTTAACAGTTTAAATGCTGTTTAAAAAAAACAACAATAACACTAAATGTGTTAAGCCAAATACAGCTGTCAAAACTGAAATATTCAGGTTGCAAATGAATGCATTTGGACAGCTGGAGAAACCACAGTGTACTTGTGTTTGTACTTTAATTCCAACTTGAGACTTAAGTCTAGGAAACAGGATACCATTTTTGTTTTTAATTTATAGCCAACTGTTACTTTATTTGCCTGGTGTTGAGAAATTTTTTTCTTAATGTGCTTGTAGTCTTATGTATCATGCTTCTTATGTGGTACTTGTATACTTGCTTCTCTGATACTATAATAACAATAAAATTGTAGCAGTACAAATTCTGTTGTACTATCTGTCTGCACTGACTCTACCAATGGAAATTTATTTCTGAGGTCTCACCTTTTTATCATAGGTCTTGGGAGCTCTTGTGGCAGTTCTAAATTAGGATTTTCATTGTTGCTGCTAATTCTTATGTTGCTGCATTTTGTGTTTGCTAACCTTGGTCCTGTTGAGTGGCTTCAGTTCTAACTCCAATGAATGTGCTACATACAACTTCTCTCTAAAAGCATAAGAAAAAAAAGCATTTAACTCCTTAATAATTTAAGGACAAGTCTACTGGAACCATAAAATGTGTAATGTGTTGTGTATGTTTAACTTGTTAATTAAAGAAGCAATTATTGGAGTCTTAAAAGAATCAACTGAAATCTAACATTATACCCTTGTGCTATATTGTAGTCTTGTAATTTCCAGCATTATTTGCTGAATCCTTCACATACTTTTCCTCTAATCAGTCTGTAATTACCATGTGGTATAGTTAGATTAATATACTTTCATTTATTGCAGCTACCCATTAGAGGAAAATTTTGTACTTCTGCCTTTATAGTTGTCTTATGTGAATGATTACAGATTTCTGTACTTTCATTGAAGCAGCCTTGACTTACTTAGGTGAAGAGCAATAAGTTTAATGATGCATGGAAAACTTCATTCTCTTTATAAAAGTTTCTCTAGTGCTTAACTTCCCCTGCCCCTCCCCCCCCGCCCCCTCTTTTTTTTTTTTCTTCTTAGATGATGAGTACCAATGGAGGGGCCCCTTCTACTTCATCCAAGGAGCAGATCCTCAGTTTGGACTGATGAAAGCTTGGGCAGTTGGAGACACGAACAATGGAGATGATGAATGGGGAGAAGAAATCAAATTAGCAGAGCAAGCAGTGCAGGCCATTAACAAACTAGACCCTAAACCCAAGTTCTTTGTGTTGTGCGGAGACCTTATCCATGGAATGCCAGGTAAGGCAATTAAAAGTGTAGAATGGGGATCGTAACTCCATTTTCTTTGTATTTCAGATTGGCAACAAGGCTAATTTAATTTCCTTGACTTCACAATATTCTTTCATAGGATTTGGTATGCTACTGTTTTGGTATTTGGGGGAAAAAACGTGCTTTGTAGATGATTCTTGAGACATTCTGATTTCTTCATCTGACTTCCTGTATCATTCATTTTAGGGGTGTACTTTTGTTAATCAGTTGCTTTCTTTTCAGTGGGCCTGAGGAAATTTTCTTTGAAATAAAAGCCCTAAGAACACACATTAAAATTCTTTCTTCTAAACAAATTGCTTTGAGAAGACAAATAGGGACCCTAGCCATTGGGGAGAAACAATAGCTATGGCTTATTGAGTACCTAAAGTGGGTGAAGCTCAGAGGATTCTTTGGCTTTCTAATGCTTAATAAATTCAACTGCTTCAATATTTAAATTCTTAAAATGCTAAAAGTCAGCAAATTCAAGCTTCAGCATTTGGTCCTGTTGCTGTGGGACTTGGAGATCAGTATGTTTCTGTGTACAGCCAGAGGAAGAACAACAGACCATCTAGAAAGGTGGATTACAAAGTTTGACAGTTATAACTTTAAAACAGACTGGTAATACTTCTATTTTAAGAAGATAAATACTCTTATCGGAAGTGAAAGAAAAACTGATGTTACCAGTTGACAAGGGGTCTGAAAAGCAGATCTAAGCACAGTGTCTTTATTTCCTAGCCTTGATACGAAGCAGAGCTCTAGACAGCCTTAGCTATGTAGCTGACAGCAGACCAATCTACCAAGTGAGCCTGCAAATAGAGTCCTGTGTGCTTCGCGCTACACTCTGCTTTGCACTCCACTTGCACCTGAGGTGGTGCATCCCAGCTCATCTTTGCACAGCAAGGTTTTGAGCATGTTAGAGACCTTTCACTAAGTCCTTCCGTGTCCTGCAAAATGGATTTTAAAACCTGAGCTGTCAAATTGACTGACATTATTTATAGGCTACAGACTTTCCTTTGAACAGAACATGATTTTAGTGATAGAATGGAAAAGTGTAAAAACCAACACATTTAAGCTTGATCAAATCTACTGTGTAACACCTCAGTAGCTTGATCATAATATAAAGTCTGCCATTATGCAGTTGTTTTATTGGTTTATGTTCTTCCATTAATTTTGGAAGTACAGGTTTAACCCGGAATCATAAAATAATCTCTTCCTAAGAATCATCTGGCCTTCCTATAGCAGAGTTTTAATAAGTATTTCAGTTAGGACTTCTAATTTGTGTAAGTGTTCCAAATATGTTATCTTCAGTATCCCTTGTAAGAGGAATAAAATTCAGGACAAATAATAGGTGTTCTACATCCTATTAAAACGGATCTTTCACTCACAAATTTAAATAATCCAGGAAGCTAAGTTAATTTCATTTTACCTAGATATTTCTCAAAGGCTCATAAAACAATGCAAAGTTCTGAGTACTTTTGTCTATACTGACTTTAAACAACACTATTCTAAGGCTTTTCTGTTGATACAGAGTAAGTGCGACCTACAGAAAGCCAGCAGTCTTCTGACTTCCACTGGGTACTAAATGGCTAGATACAATAAGTCAGTCTTGTGTGTGGCAGTTTTTATGGTTTGTGGGGGTTTTTTTTCCTAGTAATGGATCTCTGTAGTCATTATTGTCCCTTTTACCAGTGTATGTCTCAGACTTTGGTAATATTTTATATACAAACCTGTTAGGGTTTTGCAAAATATTATCATATATTCATTTTGCTAACAAACGTAAAAGAAACTGAACGGATTGTATGGCTGAGATCACTTACATTGTGTGATGTATATGCTGTGCATTGTATAAGTATTTGAAGCTGCCTAGTGCAATTTCCAAGAAATTGCAAGAAAGAGCAGTTCATTACTCAATGATCTTAAGGGTCTTTTCTAGCCTAAATGATTCTATGATTCTATTATTACCTCACTTGAGCCACCATATTTAATTCATCTAATAATTTCTTGTTGATTGAAATTATGTTAATACTTTGCAAGCCTGTGTTATCATGTACTTATATAAAGTAGTTAAGGAAATGTGCTACTAAAAGGAATTTTAGAATATTCAACTGGCACAATTACTTATTTCATTACTGCCTTTGTATTTTATACAAATGGCTTGCTGTGCCGTGAGTTGGTAAAGATATAAGTACAATTTCACAATTGTACAGGTAAGTACAATTTTACAGTCAGCCATTTGTCTTTCTGTCTAAACTGATGAGAGAGATAGAAGTGAATTGCTCTACGGTACAGATACCTGTGGATTAACACTCTGACTGCTTGCCTAGAAGGGAAGGGAGATGTATGATACAGCAAGGGAGACAGAAATGCAGTCAGAAGAATATTTCATAGAAGATAAATCTAAATCTATGTGTTTAAAAGAACGTGAAACAACACTTTAAACTGTATGAATTTGTATTTTGGAAGTGAAATAATAGGTTTTTCAAAGGATTTTTTTCCTACCTTTTCCTCTCGTTTACCTAGCTTCTGGAATAGAAACTCCTTCAAAATACAAAAAGAGTTAAAGAAAACTTAAAGAAAAGATACTTTAAAGCAAGACAACTCACAGCCTGTTTTTAAAATGTCTTCAGATACTTATTGACAATTTCTTTGGTTTGGCTTGTTAATAGTTGTTACTGTATGAGCCATTGCAAGACATTGGCATTAAGAAGCCAAGATGGCCTTAAAACAACTTATTTGCTGCATATTCTTTTATCAAAACAGAAATCCTCTGATGTTAGAAATGAAGACTTTGCAGTGAAAGTTTTTTGAAAACTTGGAAGTACTGCAGTCACATTCTCAAGTTTTCTGCCACATTCCATGCTATACTCTAGGGATTGAGGTGACTTCCTTCTCACAGAGGAATGAATTCTTAAATTTCTTCTGTTACATGGGTGTGTGTTTGAACCGCTAGTGTATTTCTGCACCATTTATGACTCAGATAGAAAGCAGGAGCCATTATATTGCACTGTCATATGGCACAAGTCTCTCTCCACTAATTCCAGTACTAATACTGTGCTTGAGACTTCATACTTCTTTACATTATCCATTTAAACAATTCTAACTTAAAGTGAAGACACAATGAGGTAAAAAGCTGTCAGCAACTGATTAAACTCTTAAAAAATTTTTAGAAAGTGTTCCATTTAAAAAAAACAGTATATTGAAATTTTCCAGCACTTTCATTATTTGTTACAACAAAAATTTGAAATTGTAAGTTGTCTTTTGGCAATACTATATTAATGAAAAAGAGCAAACAGAGAATCTAAGAATTTTTATAGCAAATAGCTTTTCAGATAATTTGAACGTATAAATGTTTACAGAATTGAAGATCAGTAGTAATATTTCTTTTTCTGGAGTAATGTAACTATTTTCGCTGTTCTAGCCAAGGATGTTTAGACCTATGTAATGCATGCCTGTAGTAGTATGGTACCGCAATCATTTCATACTTCTCCACTGAGGAGACTCTCCAAGAATAATTACTGTGTCAATTCCCTTATCATGTTAGTTCAATAAAAGGAACGATTAAAAATTCATTTTTAACATGAGACAAGACATTGATTTAAGTTTAACAATTGTGAATTTGGCTTGTACATGTATCTTATTTAATGTCTCAAATTGCCTTTTATATCACTTGTGTATATCGCCTATATTAAAACTGAAAACAGCATTGATGAAAGTGTATCACAGTTACTATTGCAGCATGGTTACTGAAGAAGGCTATAATCAATTGAAGTTCAGCTATTTTTACAATCCATTGGCCAGTGTCTATCAAGTGCTTTGGATTATACTGCTTTATAATCAATGCCTGTCAATAAAAAGGCGGGGGCAAACCCCACATCTTCCTCTCTTCTCTTAATACGTTTCATCATGGAGTACTAGTTTATGATGACTGTTTTAAAGCGTGCACTGTATCCATTTAGCTGAAGCAATGTTGAAGCCTTTTGTAAAGGAACTCCAAGAAATCTCAGAATTCCAGCAGCTAGAAGTGATGAACAGAATCCTGATCAGCTGGGAAGCAATCAGGCACAGCACTTGGAATCCATTACAGATGTCATTAGAGCAATGAAGTAATCAGTGCCGGTATCGTTGTATTTAGCTGCTGATTAAAAGTAGTTTGTACTCTGAATATTATTTTCAGAAGTTTTTCTTGATTACATAATCAAGAATAGGATATCTATTCCTGGTAACGCTAATATTGTGGTACATAATCAAGAATTTTAAGCAATACCTTATAGTGCAACTGTGTTACTGAAAATAATTTCTATAAACTCAATACTTAACACCTAGATACACCATGATAATGAAGGACTTACTTCTGAAGACATTGTGTGCATTAAGTTAGTGCACCATAACTTAATATGGCAAAAATGGTAATCTGCAAAATGCAAAATACTGTTGATTGGATAATGTGTTTGTTTCACTGCATTTTTCTAAAACTCGGGAAATTTATTTCTAAAAGTGTTTTTTCTCATATCAAGTTGGAACCTTCTGTTTTGTTTTATGACAACTTCCCATATTGTTCCATTAACCAATACTCTTTGAGCCCAACAGTCTGGCTAGTTTTTCACCCATCTAGTTCTCCACTCATCTAGACTGTAACATCCTAACTCCACAATCTTTTGATTTTTATAGAGAGGTGCCTCACAGTGACATCAGCCAGTTCTCTTGGTACTCTTGGATGCATCCCATCAGGTCCCATGGACTTGCTTGGGTTGAAACTTTTCAGGAGATACTTGGCTAAATCCTGTTCCACTATTGATGTTTCCTCTGCTCCTCTAACTCTGGGAGAACAGTTTAGTGAAGACAGGCAAAAGAAGCACTGAGTACCTGTCACTTGTCGTTGCCTCACTCAGCAGTGGGCCTGTATTTCTTTGTTTATTATTTTATTGCTAAAATAGTAGTAGAAGCTTTTGCTGCCTATCATGCCCTTTGCTAGTTTCAGCCCTCAGTGAGCT